GAGCCTTAATACATAACTAGAGAATATGAACATTAATAACTTTGACACGTATTTCAGGGTGACTTTGTAAGTCTATTTTAAAACACTGCAATCATGCTGGATGCTTAAAATATGGTAATAAGTGTTTTGCATGTATAAATCATTAATGAGAGTTCGCAAAGTGCTTTGAAAACCTTTAATCTGAAACTTCTGCAGGGTGTTCCCAATGACTGGCACTGTTTTGGGATCTTTACAGAGACATCTACTTTACAGGAATGATTTAGGTGATGAGGACCACAGATTGGATGAATTATATATATATATAAATGAAATTAAATAGTTTTCAGAGGAAGGTGGTGGAGCATGAATGCTTTTTATACTGAAATCTCCCAAGCTTTCACAAGATAAAATGGTATTCCAGCAGGGGCAGCATCTTGCCCAAAGAAATTTACTTGCAGAGTTACAGCAGATTGTACATTATACCTGCAAAGAGAGTTTTCTTATACCCAGCTAAAATGTAATACCAGTATTAAGAGAGAGAAGGAGTCCTCTTTGCCATTCAACCTTGTTCAAACAGCTGAGACTGTTTGCTGCAAAATTATACCACCTGTCTGAGGGTAGGATCCACCTTTGGAGTATAGAAGTGCTAAAACTAAGGAGCAAAACCTCCCAGACTCCTTCTCCTTTCAGGGTAATGTGAACTCACTCTCTGTAAGCGTTGCAATTTCCTTGGATATGGCTGCTGCTGATGATAAAATTACAGCCATGATCTTTGGTATTTCTTCATACAGAGTTTAGTGATTCCCTGTAATCCAAGGTCTGAGATCCCCATGAGTCTGGCCTAGGAGCTGGGTGAACTGCGAGAGGCATTGAGGGAGACAGAGTTAAGTCACCTAAATCATTCCTGCTTTATAGTGCAAGTTAAGGTTTGCTCCCACTGGAAGATGATGAGATTTTTGTTGCCAAAGCCACAATGCCTCAAAGCACATAGATTTTTAGAAATTATTTACCTTGAAAACAAGGTTCCAAATTTGAAGCCAGAAGTAACTAGTAGTTTTGAGAGTCTATTTATGCTTTCCAAGCAGTGCATTGCAGCTCCTGGCCCATCTGTCTTCTGTCCTTTTAAGTACCGCAGCTAAATATGGTTTGATGGGAAAGATGACAGGGGAACAAGATCATCAGACTGATGACAGGCAGCTTACTAAAACTTCTTGCAGTTGTGCCATTGAAGACGTGCTGGCTCTTAAAATACACTCACAGAAAGGGAATATAATCTGCCACTGAGATGATTTATATCCTGAGAAAAAAATGAATCCAAATTATAAGGCTTCAGCACCTTCATAGTGTTGAAATCATTGCAATAACATACAAACCCATGGAATGGAGTTTATTTGCATCACTGGGGTCATGTTATTGTCACATGAGACTGTAAGGGGTGAGTGGAATCTAAAATGAATGTAGTGTAGGAAAAAAAATGGAAAATAAACAAAATAAAGCAGTATAAGGCCAGGAATCCTGACCTGATTATGAACTGATTAGTGGAATGACATATGTGACTTTGATCTGTTTATCTTAAAGAGATATTATTACTCAATTCATGGGTGTCAGAAGCCAATACCACACTTCAAGTATAATAACATAGTGCTCTGAATGTATAAATCATTAATGAATACTTGTGATATGACATTTGATCCAAGGAGGACGCAGAACTTCCTGATAAGAGTTATTGCCCTAGGGATCCCTCCAACACACCTAATAATTTAGGAGGGATTTACAGAGAAGAATTTTTACTGCTCTATTAGAGAAGCAAACAAGGAGCAGGTAAACAACTCCAGACAGGAAATCTGTCTTTAGGGAAGGGCAGGTCTCAGGGTACGTGAGACACTTTCCCTGACTAACTCGCTCTGTAACAGCTACAGATTTTGACGTAACAGCCCAAAGATGAGCTACGTGGGGACTGGAAGGAGAAAAAGTCTTAGTCACCCTTGGTGGCTGTAGCTTTTCATCCTGATTCCTGCTGGCAGACCCCTTAATCAGAGATGACACCCAAATAACCATCCCAGATGCCAGGCCTGCTTGAATGCAGAATGGCAATCTATCAGGAAGGGTTAGGATGGCCAGAAATGTCCTTTCCTAAAGAATAAGAAGCAAAATACTAATTTCTGTCTAGACAGCACATTGAAAAAGAAGTGATTACATGACACCAAGATTTTCAGTGCAATAAAGTGTCATGGCAAGTCTCAGGCCCTTCCTGGTCTAGCCTGAAGGAGCTCACTTACAGTGGGATCACTGGATGTGAATTTTCACTAGGAATCTGTGAAAACAGATGCATGGCTTTTGCTCTGGAAATAAGTAACTTGGTCTTCTAGTTGAACTGAAGACGTTATGTTTCACTGAGAAGGACATGCTATGAGAGACAAAGGGAGAGAAGCAATAATTTTGTTGCCCAGTGATGCTGTATTACATAGTCATAAGAATTTAGAGTAGCTATGGATCTGCTCCAGAAGTCTTATACAAGGTTATTATTATGACACATACAAAACTACTTTTTAATGAAAAAATTCATAACCTTGGTTTCTGAAGCTATTACATATTGCCTGCTTAGGGAGTAACCATGGCTCTCCAATTTAAAGTGATGGTATTAGCCAAGTGACACAACTATTCAAATTTTGTCATGAATATTTTGGGATCTGCTTTGAAGCTGTTTCCTTTAAAAAAGCCAGTGGAGAAACTTCAGTACTGTTTCACAGCCTTAGGGATCTGCAGACAGACACACCTCAGTGGCTTCTAAATATGTAATGGTGGTAAATGGAAGATTGAGATTCTGATACTGCTCAGAAGAAAACTAAGTGAAATATACTTTTTTGAATGGAAGAATATTTTATAAAAACATTTCTATTAATCCTGGTATTGATCACTTATTCCACCTCAGTGATTACTGTAGGATGCATTCCCAATGAATATGGTTTTTCTCTGAACTGAATTCTTAGGATAATACAAATAAAATCACAAATCTGGGTGTGATGTTTTGTGGGAACTGTGCTAGGTGGATAATTTTATCCTTTCACCATTAGCTGAATCCTTCTTTTGCTTTAGTCATTAGGTGTATTAGGCTCTGTTTTAATGAATGAAATCAAACATTTCTCTCTTCAGAAATGTTTTATGTAGTAGTGGAAATATTTCAGCTTCAGACTTCCTTCATTTTCTTCATTTGTTTAGCCAAAATTGCCACCTCAAATTATTTGAATGTAGTAGAAATGATTGCTTGCCACACCACCTGAATGAAGCATTTGGTTTTCTGTGTTTGGGTATGGTAATAAATCAACCAAAAGTATGTGTCCAAGCAATTGCATGATGTCACCTTCTCACACGTTCACAATTGCTTTAATTTCTTTCCTACAGCAGAGTTGACTGAATACTGTAAGTGGACGTCCTGGATACCTCCTTGTTATGCCAGTACACAAAACTTTAACATATTACACCCCTAATTATACCAGGGAAGTAACTTGTACAATAGCCCAGATAGCCCATATCCAATACCAGATGCTGAAATGCTTTGTAGAACAATTCTGGTTTGCTTCAAAAAAAAAACCCACAAAAAACCAACCAACCAAACAAAAAAACCCAGCCAGATTTGCTGTGCTAAATGCTAAAGTCAGCATCTCTCAACATCTGCAGAACTTTTTTTCCCCATTGAGTTTCATCTCAAAAACTTAATGGAATGTTTTAGTATCTTGTATGTCTCAGTACTTGGATGATTCAAAGACCTGTTGTGAGAAGAGTGTTTTCTGTACTTCATAGGTGTCTGGACTGATCGATATTGCACAATGGATTTTAATTGATATCTTGAATGTGCAATTCAGTACCTGGCCAGTCGAAAGAGCTGACCTATTTAACTCATTATCCTTGCAATGAGTTTGAACATGAATCCTTAAAGTCTGAAAGTTTCCAGTCGTATGTTGGTGAGAGACTTCTCAGTTTGTCTGATGTCAGGAAAGGATTCTTCTAAGAGGCAGCTGCTTCATTTTCTGACTCCAATTAAAAACATGAGATATCCCCTAAAAGGAGCATGCCTTCTGCAAGAAGGGAAGGAAAAACCACTCATTGAGTCTAAAGAAATTGCTCTGTGGCTCAAGGGGAAAATTATTTCTAAAAATGGCTTGAAGTGTTTAGTTGGCTTAGAAGAACATGATTTTCTATGATTTTTAAACATTTTGATGGTGCCATGTTGTGTATTGGGAGTTAACTACTTCCAATTTTCGGGAGAGTCTACAAAATGAGGAAGTAGTGAAAAAATAAGCTATAATATATCATAATATAACCATATCAATACCTAAATATAACCATGATATGCTTGCAAAAATCAAAGAGTTGAAAGGTGAATTCAAGTTTTGGTACCATGCAGGGTATCTGACCTATTTAGGCTTTTACCTAAAGAAATATTTCTATTAACAGATTCAGGATGTGGTGCAATGCAAAGGAACAGAGACAAATACCTGGAAATGTATTTGTGCAAAACATGCACATTTTCCAATTAAGATGAGTCTCGCATCATTCTAATTTGAAAATGGCCCTGTGAAAGCCAAGCCAGTAGCTAAAATGACAGAGGGAGGAGGAAAAATACATTACTTTCCAAGCAGATCATCATAAATGTCTAAATTACCTGAATCAACAGTGCTGTGCAAGAAATGCATTTGATCTCTAATTGTGTCACATAAAATAAGTCTCTGTGGTGGAATTGGCATGCCATTAGCAAGGAAATGAGGAGGCAGCATTGCAACTATGAAATCAAAGTGTACTTCAGTAGCAGGGAATGCTTTCCATACATGATGAGCTTGTTAATACATTACTATGCACAAAGGGTGCCTTTGGGCCTGGGGCAGTCTAGACCAGTATAAAAAGGCAGTCCAGCTGCAGGCTCCCTCATCCACTTCTCTTGCCTTCTTCTCCTTGCTGAACAAGGTAAGTATCAAGTGCCTCTGTCAATTTCTCTTGTCTTTTTTCTCTCTTTCTTGTAGCTTTTCTGAGAGCCTTGCTCCTTGCCAACATCATGGAAGATGGGGAAGGTCTACAGCTTTTCTTGCAGCAGCTTCTTAAAGACCAGGAGACTTTAATTTCTCTTTCTCCCTACACAGGCTGTCCCTGCTCTCAAGACTGTGCCTTTGCTCTCACCTAGTAGGCTGTCACTATAATGCTGCCTGTGCTTTCCCTGCTCTCTCTCCCAGGTCCACCTCCATCCCACAGCCATGTCCTGCTATGATCTGTGCCGTCCCTGTGGGCCAACCCCACTGGCCAACAGCTGCAACGAGCCCTGTGTCAGGCAGTGCCAGGACTCCCGTGTGGTGATCCAGCCCTCTCCCGTGGTGGTGACCCTGCCCGGACCCATCCTCAGCTCCTTCCCCCAGAACACCGCCGTGGGATCCTCCACCTCTGCTGCTGTTGGCAGCATCCTGAGTGAGGCAGGAGTGCCCATCAACTCTGGGGGCTTCAACCTCTCTGGCCTTGGTGGCCGCTACTGCGGCAGAAGGAGCCTGCCCTGCTAAAGCCAGGTTGGACGTCTCCAGTGAATGCATGGACCAGGAAGCCCAAAGCCAGGTGCCGGACTGAGGACATTGCTGCTGGCCAGAGTTCCCAGATGGGTTGAGCATCCTTGTGTCCTCCTTCAAGGGAGGGAGACAAGCAAAGTGCCAGCCTGTGCTGTCTGGAATCACAGCCAGCTGATGTCTTCTTCTTCTCCTGCTTTCTTCTCCACACCATGAGTCCCTGTTGCCTCCTGCTGTCCTGTGTCATGGGTTCATCCTGAAGCAACTGGAGAAGGTCCCTGCTCACCACCCTCTCCCCATGGGAGTGGAAGGAAAACACTTGTCCCACTACTGTGAAGAGGTGCCTGAGTGTCAGGTGCCCTTGTAGCAGCCTGGACATTGTCTCTTCCAGGATGCACTGCTTTGTTTCTCTCTTTTTACTCATTAAAGTTTATGCTGCATTGTAACTTGAGTTTTCCTTGTGTTCCTTCCCTCCTGGGATGCCCAGCCAAGATGTACAGTGGGAAATGGGATACCCTAGAGAGGAAGAAAATGAGTGGGTTAGGGCAGATGTTTAATCTGTTTTGTGCCTGGAGGAGCTGAGTACCTCAGGTCTATGGTCGTTGGAAGAGAGTTTGAATGGTGTGGGGTTTCATGACATGATCTGAACACAAAAAGGGTGGCCAGAAGCTCCCCTAATGGACATGTGAACAACAAGCAAGCTTGGATACTGTCTTTGGTTGGTGAGGCAAGGCGCTGACCTTCTGCAAGACATTTCTGTGCAGTCCAGCACCCACCGGTACAAGGTTCTGGTTCCAGGCTACCACCTGCAATTGATCCTTGCCCTTCCTTTCTCAAAACCCTTCTTGGAAGCCCTGGATGTGAAGGAAGTGCCAAAGGGACTGAAATGAGAGATGTCAGCCAGAGCAACTATACAAATGGAGATGTGAGCCCTCTGCTAGATTTTGGCAAAGCTGGAATAGGTTGAGCATCAGTGTGTAGTTGATAGATATGCACACACAGGGCTCATCATTCCTCATCAGAAAGAGATGGGCAGTGCTGGTGATATGTGCTGGAAACTCTGCACAGGGCTAGAATGGAGCAGGAAAAGCATTTTTGCACCCACTAAAGCAGTCTTGTGCTGAAAAAAAAAATAAGGCGTTGCAGAGTTTTTCTTTATCTGTCACTATACTGTGTAGGGAAGTGATACTGGCACAGTTGACCTTAAATTTCATGCTTTAAGCTTTTGCTAAAAGCTGGACACACTTCACTAAACTGAGCACACAGGTGCTGTGCAGGATTTGACTCACATAGCAGTGACCATACTTTGGTTGTTTCAACCATATCACAAGCTGGGGAGGCTGAAGTCATGGCACTGCATTACCTCAGTTCTAAGTTTCTCATCACATGAAGGCAATACTTCGTGCTCCTGCTCTGGTTGTGCTTGAGGTACAGTAGGAGGCACCTGCTGTGCTGTGCTCCTTCGACTGTACTTTCAAAGAAACATAGACCTTGCTATCAGCTGAGCACTGTTCTGTGTCCTGTGGAAATCCTGCCATGTATTTGGTCATGCCTGGTCTGCAGCCATCTGTCATCTTACATGAGGAATGCCATCTCTCTGTGACCATAAAGCAGAAGTGGTGGCAAAGTCATGGGGTGGAAGAAGGACATGTCTTTATTGGCCATGAAATGCCTTGGTCCCCCGTGTGTGTTCAGCTTTGCCTGTGGTCTCTAGTCATTTGTTGGAGGGAATAGCCCTGGATCTTAAGCACTGGTACTCTGCCATTAAAGGTGGATGGGGATGAGGGAGAGAAGGAATATGGCAAAAGAGGCAGAAACAACTTCTGCTGAGGTCAAAGGTCAGTCTCAGAGAGCGTGTCTAAACCCCACAGCAGAGGTGCCCTGCCTAGAAAGGCGATGCCTAATACAGAGTGCATGAGCATAACACAAGAGCGAGTGGCTGATGGAGCTGACCCTTATGTGTGGATGTCCAGGCTGAAGCCTCAGGGTTATGAGGAGATGGGACCCACGCATCAGGAAACACTTTAAAGTGAGGCCCTGCAGGGCAAGGTTCTTGTTCACTTGGTGAGGTAGGATACTCCTCATCACTGGCTGCATCATCTGCCTATGCTGACTTGTCATTTCCCCTGGAAACATTTTGGCCTCTAATAGTGTCAGTTGAAAGGAGCCTGTGTGGCTGAATGGGCACGTCATGAACAGGGAAATGAAAAGGAAACATTGCAGGAAACATAAACAGTGTCCCCATTTCTTTAATTGTGATGCTTTGCATGGAAGATGAGCTTGCTGGTAAACACATTACATGCTCAAAGGGTGCCTCTGGGCCTAGGGCAGTCTGGAGCAGTATAAAAGCCAGTCCAGCTGCAGGCTCCCTCATCCACTTCTCTTGCCTTCTCCTCCTTGGTGAGCAAGGTGAGATACAACTGCTTTTTCCCACTCTTATTCTCCTGTTCTCCTCTGTCTTCTAGTTTTCTGAGCTCCTTACTCTTTGCATCCAGACTTGCATCCTTTGCAACACCAATGGAGGTGGGGGACAAGTTTTGCTTTCAGGATTTTGGGTGGGTTCCAAGATCTCTCTTCCTCCCTGCTGAGGCTGTTCCTGCTCCCAAGCCTGTGCCTTTGCTCTGGCTGAGCAGGCTGTCAGGCTGCTTCTTACTGCCTGTGCTTTCCCTGCCCTCTCTCCCAGGTCCACCTCCATCCCACAGCCATGTCCTGCTACGATCTGTGCCGTCCCTGTGGGCCAACCCCACTGGCCAACAGCTGCAACGAGCCCTGTGTCAGGCAGTGCCAGGACTCCCGTGTGGTGATCCAGCCCTCTCCCGTGGTGGTGACCCTGCCCGGACCCATCCTCAGCTCCTTCCCCCAGAACACCGCCGTGGGATCCTCCACCTCTGCTGCTGTTGGCAGCATCCTGAGTGAGGAGGGAGTGCCCATCAACTCTGGGGGCTTCAGCCTCTCTGGCCTTGGTGGCCGCTACTGCGGCAGAAGGAGCCTGCCCTGCTAAAGCCAGGCTGGACGTCTTCAGTGAGTGCATGGACCAGGAAGCCCAAAGCCAGGTGCCGGACTGAGGACATTGCTGCTGGCCAGAGTTCCCAGGCAGGCTGAGAATCCTTGTGTCCTCCTGCAAGGGAGGGAGACAAGCAAGATGCCAGCCTGTGCTGTCTGGAAACACAGCCAGCTGAAGTCTTCTCCTGCTTTGCTATCTGAAACATGAGTCCCTGTTGCCTCCTGCTGTCCTGTGCCATGGGTTCATCCTGAAGCAAGTTGAGAGGGTTTCTAATCACCACCCTCTGCACATGTGTGTCAGATCAAGGTACTTGTCCTGCTGTTGTGAAGAGGTGCCTGAGTTTCAGGTGCCTTTGTAGCAGCCTGGACATAGTCTCTTTCAGGATGCACTGCTTTCTTTCTCTCTTTTTATTCATTAAAGTTTATGCTGCATTATATTTTGTTTCTCCTCATGTTGCTTCCCTTCTGGGATTTCCAGTCAAGCTATGCAGAGTGAAATGGGATGCTCAGGCAAAATCTGTCCAAGTGTATTTGGGATGCCTTGAAGGGAGAGACAGTGGGTGGGTAAGAGTCAGTGGTAGACCACCTTTGTACATGGATGAGCCGAATGCACTCAAGTAGGATGAGCTAAATGCATTCAAGGGCTATGGTCACTGTAAGAGAAATTGAGTGTGATATATTTTCTGAACATACAAAGGCTGGCAAGGAGCTCTGTCAGGGCACACGGGAACCCCAAGTGAGGTTGGATCCTTGATTCCATATGAGCATGCAATACAATAACCAGCTGGAAGACGTTTCTATGCAGGCTAAGACCCACCTGCCCAACACTCTAACTGTATGTTACCACTCACAATATGCACCTGCCCTTCCCTCCTCCAAGCCTTTTGTGCAAATCATTGTAGTGGAGAGAGTGCCAAAGGAGTTGAAGGGAAGCTTTTGGACAGGGCAATTGTAAACTGAGATGTGACCTCTCTTCTGGATGTTTCCACATTTGGGAAGGGTTTTATCATGGATGGGTAAAAGTTGCAGGAGGGGGCACTGTGCACATAGGACTCATCTAAAGAGATTGCAGTGTTGTTACATGCTGGAAAGCATGTGGAGGGTGAGCAGGGAGAAGGAAAAGCATCTTTGCCCCACTTGGAGCAGTCTTGTGCTCAAAAGCACTGCTGAGTCCCCCTGTTTGTTACTGTGTCTGAAGGGAATGCACGCTGCAGCAAATGTCCTTTGAATCATTGAAGTGTTAGGTTTTAAATGGACCTTAAATTTCATCTAGATCGACTTTCCTGCTAAAAGCTGGGACAACTTCCACTAAATCCTCCAGAAATCCCACACAGGTGTTGTGCAGGATTTGACTGGGGACATACAAAACAACAATACTTATGTCCTTTCAAGCATGTCCCAAGGTAGAAAGGCTGAGGCAGTGGTACCCCACCATCTCAATTCTCATTCCCTCCATCACATGCAGGGAAATCTTTGTATTGCACTTCTGGTTGTGCTTTGGGTAGAGTAGGAGGCATCTGTTGTGCCATACGCCTCCAATTGCCCTTGCAAAGACACATGGGCCCTGTTCACTACTGAGCACTGTTGTGTCTTCTGTGGAAATTCTGCCAAGCACTTGGTCATGTCTGGTTTGCAGCCATCTTCATAGCTAAAGTAGAAGTGGTGGTAAAGTCATGGGGTGGAAGAAGGACATCTTTATTGGCCATGAAATGCCTTGGTCCCCCGTGTGTGTTCAGCTTTGCCTGTGGTCTCTATTTGGGAGGGGAATAGCCATGGTCCTTAAGCACTGGTAGTCTGCTACTAAACACGGGAAGGATGAGTGAGAGAAGGAAGATGACAAAAGAGGAAGAACAACTTCTACTGAGGTCAAAGCTCATTCTCAATGAGAATGTCTAAACCCCATGACAGAGGTGCCCTGCCTAGAAAGGCGATGCCTAATACAGAGCACATGAGCATAACACAAGAGCAAGTGGCTGGTGGAGCTGACCCTTGTGTGTGGATGTCCAGGCTAAAGCCTCAACATTATGAGGAGATGGGCCACATATATTAGGAAACACTTTAAAGCGATGTCCTGCAGGGCAAGAATCTCTCTTCACCTGGAGATTTAGGACACTCATCATTGGCTGCATCATCTGCCTATGCTGACTTGTCATTTCCCCTGAAAAAGTTAGGGCTCTAATAGTGTCTGTTGAAAGGAGCCTGAGTGGCTGAATGGGCACGTCATGAACAGGGAAATGAAAAGGAAGTGTTGCAGGGAACATGAAGAACAGTTCCCATTTCTTTAATTGTGATGCTTTGCATGGAAGATGAGCTTGCTGGTAAACACATTCCTTACTAAAAGAGTGCCTGTAGGCCTGGGGCAGTCTGGAGCAGTATAAAAGCCAGTCCAGCTGCAGGCTCCCTCATCCACTTCTCTTGTCTTCTCCTCCTTGGTAAGCAAGGTGAGATACAACTGCCTTTTCAAACTCTTTCTCCTTTCCTCCTCTGTCTTCTTGTATCACTGAGCTCCTTTCTCTTTGTGTCCTGAGACTTGAATCCATGCAACAACAATGGAAGGAGGGGGACAAGATTTTTAAGGGGATGCTTCAGGACAGGGTGTCCAGGATCTCTCTTCCTCCCTGCTGATGCTGTCCCTGCTCCCAAGCCTGTGCTTTGCTCTGGGTTTGTAGGCTGCCAGGGTGATTCTTGCCTGCTGACTGTTCTTCCCTGCCCTCTCTCCCAGGTCCACCTCCATCCCACAGCCATGTCCTGCTACGATCTGTGCCGTCCCTGTGGGCCAACCCCACTGGCCAACAGCTGCAACGAGCCCTGTGTCAGGCAGTGCCAGGACTCCAGGGTCATCATTGAACCATCTCCCGTGGTGGTGACCCTGCCCGGACCCATCCTCAGCTCCTTCCCCCAGAACACCGCCGTGGGATCCTCCACCTCTGCTGCTGTTGGCAGCATCCTGAGTGAGGAGGGAGTGCCCATCAACTCTGGGGGCTTCAGCCTCTCTGGCCTTGGTGGCCGCTACTGTGGCAGAAGGAGCCTGCCCTGCTAAACCCAGGTTGGATGTCCAGTGAGTGCATGGACCAGGAAGCCCAAAGCCAGGTGCCGGACTGAGGACATTGCTGCTGGCCAGAGTTCCCAGACGGGTTGAGCATCCTTGTGTCCTCCTGCAAGGGAGGGAGACAAGCAAGGTGCCAGCCTGTGCTGTCTGGAAACATGGCCAGTTGACATCTTCTTCTCCTGCTTTCTTCTCCGCATCATGAGTCCCTGTTGCCTCCTGTTGTCCTGTGCCATGAGTTCATCCTGAAGCAAGCGCAGAGCGTTCCTGCTCATCTCCTTCTCCCCATGGATGTGGGAGGAATGCATTTGTCTTGATGCTGTGAAGGGTGCCTGAGTGTCAGGTGCCCTTGTAGCAGCCTGGACGTTGTCTCTTCCAGGATGCACTGCTTTGTTTCTTTCTTTAAATACATTAAAGTTTATGCTGCATTGTAACTTGAATCTCCTTGTGTTTCTTCCCTCCTGGGATGCCCAGCCAAGCTTGGCAGGCAAAAATGGAATGCTATACAGGAGAAAGGTGTGGGTGAAGGTATGTGGTGGTTTCCATCTTTCTTGGGAGATTGGGAGGGGGTGTTCTAGTGAAGTTGTCACTTGGATGACATAGTTGCATCTGACACTGCTTTTCCAAAGTCACAAAGTTTTGTCCTGAACAAAAGACTTGTGTTTTGCATCAAATCCCTTCAATTCCTTCCGTGGCCAGTAGATGTGTGTGGCATGTTCAGATGTCAAATAAACAGTAACCCACCACTTCTGCCCCCAGACCATGCTCCTCAGTCCCCTTTCTGAAGTACATTGTAATGTTAGACCTGCAGAGTTACTGATTGGGAGTGTACATGACTTGTTGTCCACGAAGCTGTAGTGAAGTCCTTCTTGGTCTCTTGTACACCAGAAGATGAAATGAAGAAATCCTCCAGGGTGCAGCCATTGTGTCCTTTTCCCATTCTCTCCTGAACTGCAAGTCCACTGGGATCAGGGAGGGATATCTCCTTGCCCATGCATGGAGCTGGCATGTAGGTGGTCTGGCCTACTCCTCTGAGATATAATAGTTGCTACTGCAACAGGTGATCTAGAGGATGACAAGCTGCCTGTCCGTTCCTGCCTCATCCTCTAGTCTTCCACAGTTGATGTTTTTCCCTTTGGTCTCCAGTATTGCTTCAGGCAGTTAGGTGCACATTTTCTGCTGTGCCCTACGTAGTGGGAACACGTACAGTGTCTTTCCCCATAACTAAAGCCCTATTTTCTCCATATGAAAGCTGCTGGGCATTAAATGTGGGGATATGAAAGTCTGGCAGGAGACCCTATCAATAGATTTTCTGAGACAGCAGTGGGATTGAAAGGATACTTAGAAGAAAGGACAGATTTTGCACATACACAATGAATGTAAACTTGCTCTCTTGATGGAAAAGTCCCTCTCCCCACACTGTGGTCATAGATGGAGCTGGTGTGCTGTGTCCCAGGTGCAGAAAAGATTTCCTCTTCTTGCACATCAATGGCCTGAGTGCAGGAACTCCCAGGCCAATGGCTGTGATGAGCCTCACCTGGGATCTCTCAGTCCTCTCACTCCCCTTTAACCCACTTCTCTATTTAAGTTCTGTGCTGAGCCTTTGCCCTCTTCTTCAGCTTAGCAGTAGGAGTGTGAGCTTCCTGTTCTTTAGTACATTTGTGTATGCCTGACTCCCTTGATCCAGACCGTCATTAGTGGATGGCATGCCCAGTCTGTGCTTAGTTCTGTCTGGTTCTTATGGCCCTTGTCAGCAATTGATGAGCTTTTTGGCCCAGGTTAGCATCCAGGGATCTACTCCTAATGTGTGGAGTGACTGTGCTGCTTTATGTGAGTCCTGCATCACCATGAGCTTGATGGTTGACCTGGACTCTGGGCTGCACCTGTCTACTGTCTGTGCATTTTCCTTGCTCAGGTACTGTGCAATAGAATCATACATCTGTGTCATGTTTCATGTAATAATTTTGTCCTCTGATATTGTCACTTGAAAGGAGGCTTGCTGCTGAATGAGTACGTCACAAACAGGGAAATGAAAAGGCAGCATTGCAGTGAATGTAAGCACTGTCCTCATTTCTTTAATTGTGGTGCTTTGCATGCAAGATGAGCTTGTTGGTAAACACTTTACATGAGCAAAGGGTGTCTCTGGGCCTGGGGCAGTCTGGACCAGTATAAGAGTCAGCCCCAGAGCAGGCTCCCTCATCCACTTCTCTTGCCTTCTCCTCCTTGGTGAGCAAGGTGAGCTGCAAGTGTCTTTGCCTTCTATCTTGTTTTCCTCTTTTTCATTTGGCCTCAACTTTGCCATAG